TAGTTAAGACTCAAATCAAAAAATGCGTATCATTCACGAAAGAACATAAAGTGTGGAAATCAAACCTTAAATCAAGGACGTTGGGCTCATGTCAATGGAGGGAAGAAAGGCTTCAGGAGCGACGCTGGTGGCCGGAGTGAGTTGCTCAGAAAGCTTGCAAGGAGGAAGAGAATGTTGAACGAATACGCGCCGCCGCTGCCTCGCTAACCCTAAAACTTTCATGACCAAACTGAACACTCCTCACTAACCCTAAATTCGTTCAAGTCCAAACTTGGGCCTGACCCGTCCTCACTTCCCCAAAGCCCATTAAACACTAACCCTTTTTTTTATTTCATCAACAATATTTACTTCTTTTTTCTTTATTAAACACTAACCCTCTTTTTATTTTATAAACAATATTTACTTTTTTTTGTAAAATACTAACTTAATTAAAATACATTTTTACCTCATATATTAAAATTGAAAATAATTATTTCCTTTTATTTATTTACTCTTTCATTTAAAATATATTTATACATACATTTTAAAAAAACATTAATTTTATAATATTATCATATAGTTAAAATATCCTTTTTAAATATATATTTGTACATAAAAATAATAAAATACTCTTTTTATACATAATTAACTTGAATACATTTTTAATACACGTTAAAATACATTTGTACATAACAATTAAGAATATACTTCCTTTTTATCCATAATTCAATTTTTTGACATTTTAGTGTATTTTCATATATAATACAATTCAATTAAAATTTGAACATACCATTCTTAATTAACACTTTCTTTTTCTTTTGTACATAATTAAGCATACATAAATCAAAGATTCATTTTAAAAACATTTCTCTAGGTCAAAAATCCTAATACGCTTCAGTTCCACAAATTCGCACCTGTAAATAATTACACAACACATATACATCTTACACTTACACAATACATTGCCATATACACATTTTTATCTTATATTTGTATATTCGATATTTACATTTTGATCGCACATTCGATTTGGTTGTAACTTATTGGATACTATAAGTCTCATCCCTCTTGTACATTTATACCCCCACTCCCAGATACTACTTTGTAATAGCGTAGATTTTATATTCCGCAATTTACAGTTTTCCAATTATACCATGGTTAGACCTAGGGTTTGTATGTACATAAAATCGAAGGCTAGATAACCTAATACAAGACAAATACATGTAATCAATACACAAATCACACTTGCACCCCCTAGGGTAATCCCACATGTTGCCTTCCAAAATGGGCCATGCTTGCACGTCGAGTATCTTTGGCAAAACAAAATCAAATGATCATAAGTCCCTCGATGACGCTTTCGAATGTTGCCTAAACGGAATGATCATAGTCCCTTCAAAGCAAATTGCCAAAGACACTTGGCATCATTGCATTCATGGTCTATACGATGACCCGCGCCCGTCCCGAATGAACTTCCTAATGACAAGATTGTCCACCAAATGCAATGGTGGAACAAATTTGTCAAAATGGCTTAAAACATGACAAAAATCTTTGAGAAAGCTTTAGGGTAGATAAACTCTTAAGTACTTGTCAATTTGCAAAGAAAACACTTGCCTAATTTCAAAACCCACTTCACAAACACTTTCAAAATCAACTTTTCAAACCCTTGAAACATCTTTTTAAAAGATAAAACACCTTTTGTAAAACATTCGAGTAAAGAATTGTTACAAGGTTAGCCTAGCACAAGGCATCTTTTCAAAACATTTTCAAGACCACACACAAAGCACCATTTCAAACAATTGAAAACCAAGGCAAGATTGATCTAAGCAAGTACCTAAGAGCCCATGGATAACCATGGATAGAAGGGGTGCTAATACCTTCCCCTTCTATAATCTACCCCCCGAACCCACGAAATATCTCAAAAGGTTTTTGCTGTGCTTTTTTAACCTTTCCTTTAGGATAAAATAAAAAGTCGGTGGCGACTCTTGCTCAACCGCACAAGTGCGAATACAAACGCAAAACACTAGTCAGTTCTCCCACCGTATCACACACCTTATTACACATCATAATCAGATGATCCAACAATTCAACTTCAATTCCACAAAACGGACAGAAGTAGTTCAATTAATATGTGTTGGTCGAGTTAAATGAGTGTAATCTGTTAATAATAAATTTAATTTCTGAAAATATTTATTTATATTTATATATTAATATAAGTAAGTTGTTGATATTTATAAATTAATAATTTAATAATAATAATAATATTAAAAAATCAGTAAAAAAAAATCTAATTATTCACATTTAAAAAAATTATGGTTATAAACAACAATTGGATTTGGGACAAACAAACATTCTGTATATAAAATGGTGGAACTTGGAGTCCCCATATTAATTATTATTACCATCCAAAAGCTTGAAACTATTAAACATTATAGGACCAACAGGGTCAGCATGTTAAGTTCCATCAAAGTCCAAACAATTGGAGAATCAAAATAATATTTTAACGCAAAAGTTAATCATATGTTTAGTAAAAAATGATTAAAAAAACGTTGGAAAGAAGAGAAAATTTGAAAATGTGAGTCACAATCTGACTTTCTACGAAATTAATCTCAATTTTGCTTTATTTTATTTTAAATTTGTTTAACTAAAGAATTTTGTTGAAAGTGTCAGGTTTTGTTCTGAACTTGGTTGACTATTTGGAATATTCCAGAAGAAAAAATGGCCGTAATATTATTATTTTAAAAAAGAATAAATTCGAAAACGCGTTTGAAAATAAAGGATTTTCTTGAAAAAAAGTTATTTTATTTATGTTATTTTACATATAATAGAAAAGTGTAATAGTTTTTTGAAATTATTAGTATTAATTATGGAGAATATGAAAAGTTGTTATCTAGTATGAAAGACCCGACATAAGTGTTTGGCTATATGAAATTTGCAAAGACAGAACATAAGTTATGATAAGTGTTGTCGTAAGTGTAAATAAGTTACAACTTTAACGCGTTGGAATGGATTTGTGTTTTATGTCGGTGAGCATGTAGCACATACATAGGCCATTGTTTTTTTTTGGGTCCAAGAAATGATTCTAAGCCAGTCACAATTATGGAATCACAATTGGAACTGATAGTTCTATTTGTTTAAATAACAACAAAGATATTATTCAATCAAACTTATGCTTCTCAATTCATCTTCGTGGGGATAGACAATGTGTACTCTTTATGGTCAAAAGAGGTTGAAGTCTTGAAATCAAACTTAAGACAGTTGGTTTTTATTTATTCATGCACACCTTGTCTATTTTTTAACAATCAGAATGAGGATTAAACAAATGCAAAATAATCAAACATTAAAGAACCAATTATTTATCCATTTATTTATCTGATTAGATCTTTGTTTTATTATATTTTCATGTGTTTTTAGTTGAATTGTTCAAAAAACACTCAGTTTTAACCAAACATTAAAGAACCAATAATCGAGCGACATAGTTTATTTCTCCGTATAATCTCTTAAAGTAAAAGTGAATCACAAATAAGAATTCATATTCAATATTTCTATTAACTTTTAAATTTAAGGACACCATTTATCAAAGAATCTAGTTTAATATAATATAAAATATGATAAGATACAAATTATAACATGTTATCTTAATTATGAAGGATATATTTCTTGTTTAGTTACAATTCAAGAGAAGATGGAAGAAAGAGCAATCATGAGAAGATGACTACTCCAAATAATATACTATGTTTTCTTTAAATAGGTTTTCTTCATATAGCTTAATCTTCTAAAGAGAACATAATAAAATAATTGAAAAACATATCTCATATTGAGTTTAACATAATCAACCCATCACACTCCTTTCATAAACAAAGTTCAACAACAATTCATCCGTAATTAATACTTGATAACAATTATCATTATTTATACTTATAATATTATAAATAATAAAAATATATTAATTTATAATTAATTAATTAATTAAATTATTAAACTAATGGAAGAACACCAAGAGCAACAACAAATTAAAAAACCTAACAAACTAAGCTTGAACACCCATATGTAACTTGAAGATCATATTTGATGTTGAAAGAAAAACTAATTAAACTAATTATAAAGATACAACAACATGTTCAGTGATTTAAGCAAAAATTTCATCTTTCTTCATTTGTATAACTCAATCTCAACCTTACCTAACAATTTATATCACTAATATATAGATGTATACACATATAAAGTATAGAAGAATAGTTATAGCATCATCCATTTAAATAGGCAACTTTACAAATAACAAAATTCTTCCATTTTCATATATGTACGTCTGTCATCTATCAAAGTGAAAATAACATCACATTGTGTGTAGTGAGTCATTTGAGTAAATGCTCCATTAACCTTAAAATTGTGCGTCTCCATATATGGATAGACATTATGATGAGCATTATCTATGAACAAATATTTGTGGATTGTTTTGCCCCATTTTGGTGGTTGGCTAGGTACTCTATTACACCTACTAATATATATAATCTTATGAAATATATATATAAATGCAAGCAATAATGGTAAGAGGATTCTATTAAAAATATATTTTATTCTAATTTTATTTTTACAAAACAATTACAAATCTATATAAAATCTTTTCAAACTCTATTGTTAACTAATATAGAATTAAGAACTTTATTTGATTGACTCCAAGGCTTCATAGAAAAGGATAAAAAACAAAGATATATGAATAAAAAAAATTACCAGAGCATCTAGATGTTTCACAATCAAAAGAAATGAGAAGATAAAAAAAAAAAACTATCAAACATTAAAATCTAGATTACACAAACAAAAGATAAAAGCAGTTTTGTATGTTTTTATCAACATTGTCTAAAGAAACAGTTGATTATTTGTAAAACAAGATCATAAAACAAATAAACTTATGTGATACCATTCTAAAAAATGTCTAAAGCACTAGAATGATGAACTAAGATAAAGTTGACAGAAAAAACCTCTAAAAACTCTAAGCCTTTGCTTGATATGTGAAAAAGAAACAACTACTTATCTTCTCTTGTGAGCTTATCAAGAAGAGCAGTGAATAATGCATCTCTCTTTTCAGCCCTAGCTTCTTCTCTAACCCTTCTTTGTTCTTCTCTCTCTCTCCATCTTTGTTCCATCATCATCCTCTCATTCTCCAATGCTTCCATTGTTTGTCTCCACTCCATCTCCTTCATCCTCCTCTCATTCTCCCTTGCCTCAAATGCTTCCATCCATTGAGCTTCCATTTGCATTTGTTGCCTCATGAACTCCTCAAGAATCTCCTTCAAATTGTTGCCACTACTACTACTACCATCGTTTCTTCCACCACCTACCACCATTTTTCCCTTTTTCTTCTTCTTTTTGCCAATGTTACCTTTCTGATCTCCTTCACTTTCTTCATTTCCTAACTCTTCTTCTTCCTCCGAAGATGCATGCATGCCTTTCTTCTTTGATCCTCCTTCAGCTTCCGCCCATAGCATTCTTTGCATCCTTGCACTGAATATTGCTTGAAGCTCATTGTAAAATGGAAATTGTTGCTTTGTAGCTTCTATCTCCATTGTTTCACATCCCTTTATATCTCAAAAACATAAATAAATTCCTCATAATATAAAAATCACAAGATATCATATATTTTAATTAAAGTGCTATATAATATTCATATACTTTTATTTTTTTGAAAAGTTTATCCCTTAACAAATTGAAAAGCCAAACTAAAACATAATTACATAATTGATTAACAGTAAGGTTTTAAATAACAGTCGCGATTTCGGGCCGTATAAGATGAAGATAAAAGTAAGTACCTTATAGCGAGTAACAAGGTTTTTCCATTTGCACTTGCACTGTTCAGCACTTCTATGATAACCCTTTTCCTTCATGTTGTTAGAGATAACTTCCCAAAGCTGTTTGTTTCTCTTTGTCTCCATGAAAGTTTGATCAAGCTCAGAACGGATCATGAGAAACTCCTTTGTTTCTTGGATGCTCCATTGAGGGAACCTATCGGTGACATCCATGTTAAGATTGCTAGTACCTATGATGTTTTGAACATGCTGTTGTTGATGTTGTTGTTGTTGTTGTCTTTGTTGTTGTTGATGTTGTTGTTGTTGATGATGTTGTTGATGTTGATGATGATGTAGATGATGACCATCCATTGAAATTGGATAAAAAACAAAAGCAAAAGCTAGATTCTAGTGATTCAATATGTAGCAAAGTCGTGTAAGAAGAGAAGAAGAAGAGGGTATGGTGTTTTTGGCTATGGAGGAGAGAGAGAGAGGTAGAGAGAGAGAGAGAGGGAAAAGATGAGAGAGAAGGAAAAGATAGGAAGAATATATATATATGTAGGTGGAAGGTAAGGTGTGAACACAAGGTGTGAATTGCTTAACATACAAGAGAAAGAAAGAAAAAATATGATAGTGAAATTTTCTTTTGCTTATATAGAAGAAATTTATTATCTAGTTGAATTTCTATTTATCATTCTTTTTTTTTTTAAAGATAATTACATCATTCTTTTCAACTTTTTATTTTTTAAGTATAGCTTTTTCTAGAGTAATTTATATCTAAGATATCATTTTTAAAAGTTTATTATTATTTTACTAATAATACACTTAATTATTTATGATAAAGAAAAAAGTAGAATAAAATAATAAATAGTTAAGATCATAAATAGAAAATGAGTTGGCTAGGATAATATAAATAACTTTAAGCATAGAAAAATAACAAAAAGTTATATCATTAATATTAAAATTTATTAATTTATTAATTTGTTTAGAAAGTACTCTCTTCTTATAAAATTATTTCATTTGTATTTTTTTCTCTGTTTTGAAATAATTATTCTTATAAAATATTAAAGTATTTCACTCTATTCAATTAATTTATTAATTATAATTAATTAAAATATTTTTTTTTAATTTTTAATATGAAAAAGTTATTTAAATTTATTAAATAATTACTATATATGATTTATTATATAAATCAAATATATTAATTATTTAATAAATTAAAAAATACTTTTTTTATTATATTGAGATTCAAAGGGAGTATTAGTTTTATCTTTAAGTTTAATATATCTAATAAATTATCCATAAGTCTAATAAAAACTTGTGTTTATATTAAAATCTAGTATAAAATTTTAGATTTATACAAAATTCAACGTTTAATGTATCAAATTCGTATTATTAATATGAATGTTGTGAATTTATTCGTATTTTTTTTTGTGATTTTGAATTTGTATTACAACAATATATTTTTTTATTTGAATGAATATTATTTGTTTTTAATCAATTTTTTTTTTATCAAATTCATATTAAAAATTTGTGTTTATATCAAAATCTAGTATCAATTTTTTTAAAATTGCAGGGAATCATTTTCTAAACTTTCATCTAATTTATAAAAAAAAATTGAAATTTCTATAATTGCGATAAATTTCCTTCCAAATGTACGTTAAATTTACTAAATTCACATCGAAAACTCGGGTTTCTTTTAAGATTTACTTTTGAAACTTATATGAATTAAGATGAATTTCTTTCTGAATGTATATTTAATTTGCTGAGTTTATATGAAAAATTAGTGTTTCTAGCTTGAAATTTCTATAAGTTATAGTGAATTCTCTGTTAAATATATATTTAATTTATCAAATTCACATTAAAAATTCGCTTTTTTCAAATTTTTTTTTATAATAATTAGGTATTAAAAAAAATCGCAAATAACCACGTTTCAGAAAAAATTACGCAAATAATCATGTTTCAGATGACTCTCCAAAGGAAGAGCCATCTCACTTGGCGCCTCCACCTAGGGTTTTGCCCTAGGCGCCATCTCACTTGGCGCCTCCTATCTCTTTTAGCCAAGTGAGATGGTGCATGCACTTTAAAAGTGAGAGGAGGCACCATCTCACTTGGCTCCTAGGGTAAAACTAGGGCAAAATGTTGTTTTATAAATAATTCGTTCATTTCTCCGTCATTTCTCACACTTTCTCGCACTGTTTTTTTATTTTTTACTCTGTTATTTGCGTCATGACATCGCCCATGATTTTTACCAGAGATGGGTACGTTATCTTCTCCGCCACGAAACCTGCGATGAAAATGAAATTCTGGCACATTCACTCCATGGAGCGTCTGAAGCGGGAGTTGATGCGATGGCTAGATGGAGACATTACGGAGGGGGGAAAATTCGAAGGATCCAGCGAAGACAAACAACAACCTCACATGCGACAGGAAGACCTAATGTATGGTTGGAGGAAGTCAAAACAGACAGCGGCGTAATATTGATGATGCATGGGTCAGATGAAATTGTTTTAACAGTTATAATTTCGTAGACAGAATATCGTATTTTTTTTTCTTGTACGCACAATATTTACTGTAGCAAATACTGTTAACGAAAAACCCTAATGTTTACAACATAATTAAGGAAAGATTTTATGTATTACAATTTTTATGTGGTCGAGGCAGACGCCCGATTCGGACAATTTTTGCGATTGTGTCCGACCTGACGGTATAAACCACACTTTTTTTACAACTTGTCAAGTTCGTCCATTTCGGTTGTGATGCGCTTACTTTTGGGACGACCCTTCTTGTTCCTTCGCATTTGGTCATTGTGCCACACTATTTCACCGTCGTATGCAGGCTAATAATCTGGTTTTGCTACCAAAGGAAAGCTGTTGTTGTAAATGTTGAGCAACGTTTCAGATTTGAAAATGTGTGACAGAAGTTGTAGCGCGTCTTGATGGGTATAAGCACAAGCGACAATGACATGAGAGCAAGGCATGCGAAAGGCTTGAAACTTGCCACAATCGCACCAACGAGAAGGTAGTATTACCCTATATTCCTGTCTTGGCAGGCCTTCGTTGTGGTCGATTGTCTCTTTCACAATGAAGTTGTGGTTGTGTCGGTCAAATCGTATAACCATATGAGTGTTGGCTTTGGCACTTTCTGCCTTAATGTATTTCATGCAACTTTCACTCCATAGTTGTCCAGATTGCAACACCGCATTCCATATTTCACCTCTTTTGGAAAACAATGCAACCATCCTAAAATACATAGATTTTACCAAAGCAGTGATCGGGAGGTTTCGTATGCCTTTGAATACCCCATTCATCGATTCAATTAGATTCGTTGTCATGTGCCCCCATCTTTGGCCATTGTCGTATGACCTATTCCATTTTTCCATCGGAATATTGTCGATCCACCTACCGGCTTCCGGATTTGATAAATGGATCTCGTTGCGGTAATATTTAAATGTGGGTTGTGTCAATGCATATCCCACATTCATAACCGCTTTCCTTAGTGTTTTGTCCTTGATCTTCCTCGTGAAATTCTGGACGATATGCCTAACGCAATAGACATGCGTAGAAGGAGGGTCATGCCAACCGTTTGCAGGATTATTGTAGGCACTTTCAATGGAGGCATGTCTGTCCGAGATCAAACACAGATCTGATTGAGGAGCCACGTGTGTTCACAGGTTTTTCAGAAAAAAGCTCCAAGCACCACCGGTCTCCCCCTCGACTAGGACAAAGGCAATTGGGAAAATGTTGTTGTTGCCATCTTGTGCAACTGCCATCAGTAGCGTGCCTTTGTATTTCCCATACAACCAAGTCCCATCAATTTGTATAATTGGTTTGCATGATGCAAACCCTGTGATGCAAGGTTGAAATGCCCAAAATACTCGACTGAATATTCTGTTTCCGTTTAGTTGACTACCATCTTGGGCGTATGCTGGCACTGTTTCCAGAACATAAACAGTACCCGGAGAATAAGTCTTGAGTGCATTCAGGTAGCGAGGAAGTTCTTGGTATGACTCCTCCCAGTTTCCGTACACCTTTTCAATCGCCTTAGTCTTTGCTAACCACGCCTTACGGTAAGACGGAGTATAGTTAAAAACCGTGGTGATGTAGGAGATGATGGTTTTCACCTTCAAAGATGGGTCGTTGCTGACCAGTGGTAGGATTTCTTGACAGATGAGATCGTAATTAAGTTTTCGGTGGTCCTGTGATTGGGTAGAACTTACACAAGTGTGGGTAGTCATGGAACCTATGACCCAGCAATCACCTCTTAATGTGTATGATGCAGTGAGCTTGAACATACAGTCAGGGTGGACACACTTGATCTTGTACCTTTCTGGGTTGACACGGTCCACTTCAAAATCGACCGAGTTGAGCATGTGGAATTTTTTTATGGCTCTGATGCATTCCTCTCTGTTACGAAACTTGTCCTTCTCTTTTAAGTTTTCATCCGACTGCATATACAGATTGAAAAATAAATCTGTTGACGGTTCATCTCCGCCCATGTTGAAGTTTGTCATGTGCGGAGGTGGTGTGTAGATCTCGTTTGCAGGAATACTAGGTATGCCATCATCGTCGTAATCATCATTCACCATTTCATCAAACTCTAACTCGTCATCTTCTTCTTCTTCATCAACTGCATCTACCTCTTCTTGTTCGTTCTCCAAAGGATCAACCACTTGTGTCACCTGAGGCTCTCGCAGCATAATGTACAACTCAATAGAGTCGTACCCAGAATACACATGGCTGGAAAACATATTCTGAAGATCCTCGTCATCTTAAACCTCAACCTTATAAAATATTATTGGGTTGTTTCCAAAAAAAACTGGATTCTGATAAAATATCCGTGTCACCGGGCCTCGTCTAAGTTTGTCCTCCAATCGTTTTTTGAAGTACGAGAAATTGGCTTTCCCGTTTAAAAGAAATCAGATGTTGTCTGTGTCTCTAAACAAAAACCCAGAGGTGGGACAAATGTATGTCTCACCGTTGAAATGTGCATTGATGACATATTGGGGTGCAGAGGCCATTGCGTAGGGTTGTTTGAAGGTTTGAAGGTTTGAAGGTTGTAATGTTTGAAGTGTATGAGTTATTCGAAGGTTTGTATGTTTAATTGTTTGAAGGTTTGAAGGTTTGATTGTATGAAGGTTTGAAGGTTGGAAGGTTTGACAGATTAAGTGAATCAGTATTTTGATAAATGTAAGACTAAATAGGTCATACTGAATTTGAATTAAGTAAGGATGTAACCCCCAAGGCTGCCACCTAGCCTGCGCCTACTCTGCACCTACACTGTAACTTGTAAGTCTCCTCCCATCACCTCCAATAGTGTTACATGCATTCAGACATGGTATCCCCAAGGCTGTCACCTAGCCCGCGCCTACT